TTAGATACCATTTCTACACCTAGGAAGTGCCAGCTAGCCAGGTACGCCCCCTTTCTTAGGTACCATTTCTATACCTAGGAAATGCCAGCCAACTAGGTACACCCGCATTCTTAGATACCATTTCTACAGCCAGGAAGTGCCAGGCAGATGTCTCTAATTCGCAGGTATCCATCTCTATAGCTAGGAAGTGCCAGCCAGCCAGGTATACCCCCATTCTTAGGTACCATTTCTACACCTAGGAAGTGCCAGCCAGGTGTCTCCCATTCCAGGGCTTCCATTTATACACCTAGGAAGTGCCAGCCAGCCGGGTACGCCCCCATTCTTAGATACCATTTCTACACCTAGGAAGTGCCAGCCAGCCAGGTATACACCCATTCCTAGGTACCATTTCTGCATCTAGGAAATGCCAGCCAACTAGGTATCCCTCCATTCTTTGGTACCATTTCTACACCTAGGAAGTGCCAGCCAGGTGTCTCCCATTCCAGGGCTTCCATTTATACAGCTAATTCTGTTTTTCTGAAGGGTGGTCATGCTCTCCAGCATCTGCTCAAATCCCAAAGTGTTTCTTCTCATGGAGTCTATAACAGTTCTGGCAACCAAACCTAGTACTGTAGTTTAGGTAGGGGACTTTCAAAATATTATTAATTTCAATGTATTAGTTTCCCATTTCCAATGGACTCTTCCTTGCGGTGTTATTGCAAAGTGACATATATACAGAATACAGAATTTTCTAGCTGGGCATTTATATAACCATATAACCATTATCAATTTGAGAATTAAAAGTGTTACATCTGTAGGTTTTCTTTCTCTGGTCTTTTCTGTCTTCAGTTGCGTTCCCTACATGATTTATTCCTACAGAGGCGCATATGTGCAAAACTATGTGTCAGAGAAAGCGGGCGCAGAAAAGTTCTTCAGTGATACTTGACACATGTTCCAAAGCTTTATTTATTTATTTTTTTTTGGCCTAATCTTGTTTTGTCCTTTCTCGGGAGAATCCCTTTCTTTTTCTCTCCCCTCCTGTTCAATAGTAATCTGATTTTTTAGGGTAAACGTGAAATTCTCTTCTCTGCAAAAGTGTTCTGTCCTACACGTCGGCATACTGTTGTGGCTGAAGTGTTGTCTTTCTTATTTCCTAGAGACTTGTGTTTTGGCAATACTGATAAAGATCCAGCCGCGGCTGCTATAAGCAAGATGTATTAGTGGTTTGCATATAGTAAGCCCTGTGGAGTGAGTTATAATATAGAAAGGTTGGGCAGAAACTTCCCTTCCGCCTTCTGAAGTTGGTAAAATGAGGACCTAGATTGTTGGGGGCCATATGCTGACTCTTAAACCGCTTAGAGAGGGCTGTAAAGCACTATAAAGCAGTATATAAGTCTAAGTGCTGTTGCTATTGCCCTCCCTCCCTCCCTCCCTCCCTCCCTCCCTCCATCCCTCCCTCCCTTCCTTCCTTCCTTCCTTCCTTCCTTCCTTCCTTCCTTCCTTCCTTCCTTCCTTCCTAGTGATTAGAATACAGTATTGCAGGCTAACTCTGCCCACAACCAGGTGTTCGATCCTGACCGGCTCAAGGTTGACTCAGCCTTCCATCCTTCCGAGGTCGGTAAAATGAGGACCCAGATTGTTAGGGACTGACTCTGTCAACCGCTTAGAGAGGGCTGGAAAGCACTATGAAGTGGTATATAAGTCTAAATGCTATTGCTAAGAGCTATTAACTATTTTTTTCTGTGCTTTGAAATTGTCGTTTCTTATTCCACAGTCATGGCCCGTGCTAGTTACTCTTCTGCGTGTTGAACATTGAAGGGATAGTAACCGGATCCTTAATCTCCGAATGAAACTGGTTACACTTATTTATAGGGGTCCTATGTGTATAGCCCAAGCACATTCCGCAGCATGAAGCTTGTCTATTTCAAGAATAACACACGTAGATACTATTATTGCTTCTTCCTGCAGTTCCTACTGTAGTGTGAACTCTTGATTATTTTTACTTTTTGAGTTTCACATTACAACTCATTATTCTCTGTTGGCTTGACTCAAAGAGCATCTAGTATTTTATCTTTTTCTTTTTGTTCCTAGGTCAACGCGGCTCACAAATCTTTTCTCTCTTGATGCAGAGACCTGTGAGTCCACTGTATCTGTTTTATGACTCCCTGGCCCATTGAATCGTAGCAAAACAGGATGTGCCCCTGAATTGTCTCAGTCTAGTGTAGCCTTTCTCAGCAGCTTTAAGATGCGTGGGCTTCAACTCCCCAAGTTCCGCAGCCAGCGCGCTGTGAATTGTGAACCCACAATTGTCTGGTGGGTTTAAAGACCAATCCATGTTTTAACCCAGATATATTTTCCTGCGTCGGATAGCCAACTTTGGGAGATTGCTGTGGTGGAAGACAGGCATGACCAGCTGAATCTCCAATAATATGAATTTCTGAGCTCTTGTGTAAAGAACCTTCTTAAGAGGTGTGCCTCACCTTATTACTGGAATGTCAGCTTTAGATTGGGAATAGGTTGCTTCAACTGTAGCTTTTAATTGCCACATACAGCTTGGCTAGCTTGTGTTAAGATGCATACTCTCTGCTACATGTTTGCTGGGAATGTTTCTGAGCAGGCCTTACCTGGTTGGGTTTTGGGGAACCCAAGATTGCTGTAGAAGTTTTGTCTTAAGCTAGAGGTCCCCAACCTTTTGGGCACCAGGGACCGGTTCCGTGGAGAGAGGTTTTTTCCCCGTGGACCGAAGGGTGCGTGGTTTTGTGTGCTGCCTGCATCCCGCGGATGGGGCTTTGCTTGTTTGTGCGGACCGGTTGCTGGCATGCCGTGGCCCGGTATTGGTCCACGGACTGAGGGTTGGGGACCCCTGTTCTAGTCCAGCCCCCTATTCGAGCAGGAGACCCTATACCATTCCAGACAAGCCAGTAGCGTTTTCTCCCATGGCTATTTCTGTAATTTTGGCAATATGTAGGTAATATTTACTGAATTTTATAAGCAAGGTTTAGGATTCAGGGATTGGAAGAGCAGCGTTTTCTCCCCGGCCGCTGGAAGTAGAACAAATCTTGTCGGTTAAAGAAAGAGGCTGCTTTTTTTTTAACCCTAATTGTTGCTTTTGTTATTGCTACCTTTTTAGTAAATGCGAGGCTGGCAATGATAGCCAGAGAAGAAATGTTTTGACGGCCTCTTCCACCTCTGCAGCTGATAGGATACGAGGCGAAACAGTTTGGGCTCGGTTGCCATGACAGACCCTCAATTTTTCACAGGCGAGCAACACTGGGGCACGCGAACGACCCAGCCAGGCACGCTTGTACAGTAACGGCGGCGGCCGTCAGAGGTTGAGAATAGCAACCTGGGTGCAGTGAGACGTGGCCATGCAAATCCAGCAGCCAGCTCTGTTTTTATTTTTCAATCGCTGACGCGAGTGCCCATTCAGGCGTGTCCGTCATTCAGCTCCTGTCTCTTCTTGCAGTACGCCGGACATTGGGGACATGTTCCGGACCGCCATCATGATGGCTGCCAGCCTGGCCTTAACCTCCGCCGTGATAGCTCACGCCTATTACCTGAAGCACCAGTTCTACCCCACCGTGGTGTACCTTACCAAGTCAAGTCCCAGCATGGCGGTGAGTTCGGCCCCTTCCCCGTCGGTGCCCGGGCTAGCTTTAAAAAGTGCTTTTTGAGTGTGTCTTCCCCCCCCCCCAGTTCCTTGCCCTTTCTTTGGACGTGCCACGAATCCTAAGCAAAGGTTTCTAGTCAATGTAGCCAGTGGAGTCGTCGTATCTAGCCAGTCTGAAAGATTGATTCTTTATTTACATTTATATTTTTGTTTATTTAACCCAACTAACTAACTAAAGAGCCGTGGTGGTGCAGTGGTTAAAATGTAGGCTAAATTCTGCTGAATGCCCCCTGCCAGCAGTTCGGCAGTTCTAGTCTCACCGGCTCCAGGTTGACTCAGCCTTCCATTCCTTCCGAGGTCCGGTAAAATGAGGATCCAGATTGTTGGGGGCCATACGCCGACTCTGTAAACCGCTTAGAGCGGGCTGTAAAGCACTGGGAAGCGGTATATAAGTCTAACTGCTATTGCCCTTCCCTTCCCTCCCTCTCTCCCGTGGTTAGAATACAGGCTAACTCATTGGTTACTCTCAGGAGTTTGATCTTGACCAGCTCAAGGTTGACTCAGCCTTCCATTCCTTCCGAGGTCCGGTAAAATGAGGATCCAGATTGTTGGGGGCCATACGCCGACTCTGTAAACCGCTTAGAGCGGGCTGTAAAGCACTGGGAAGCGGTATATAAGTCTAAATTAAGAGGAAGAAGGCACGTCGGATGTGCGTGCCACCTTCAGTTATGCGGGAAAATAACAAAAGCGGGAGAGCAACTACAATAAAATTATATTCTGTTAGAAGTATCACCTCACCAACTAGAGAAAGGAACTGTTGTTGTTGTTTTGTTAACAATACAGTGCTCCCTGCAAAAGCTGTTTCCCTCTTAACGGATGGTTCTCTAAACCACTTTTTTTTTTTTTCCTTTTTGCTCTCTTACCCCTGGCAGGTGCTCTACATCCAGGCTTTTGTCCTGGTGTTCCTACTAGGCAAATTCATGGGCAAAGTGTTTTTCGGACAACTCCGAGCGGCAGAAATGGAGGTGAGTCTTTGCTGGCGCGTGGAGGCGTTAGTCTTGATGAGAGGAGATGTTTAAAACGGCTTTAAGCAAACTTTGCTCTCCTTTGCAAAGAAGCATCTATTTCAGTGGTTCTCAACCTTTTTAATGCCGCGACCCCAACCGGTCATAAGTCGAGGACTAAACCGGTCGTAAGTCGAGGACTAAGCCGGTCGTAAGTCGAGGGCTACCCAACCGGTCGTAAGTCGAGGACTTTCCCTGCCCGGGAGCGCCGCGCATGCGTGGTTCTGCCCCCTGCGCCGGCCGAGGCGTAGCTGGCAAGCGGCAGAGACGGAGCAGGCCGACCACCAGCTGGCCCAGCCCAAGGGAGGTAAGGCACCCGCCGGAAAAGGGGGGAAAAAATGGCGGACAAAAAAAATGGCGGACAGCCTTGCTTGTCGACCCCCATGAAATGGTCGATCGACCCCAAATGGGGTCCCGACCCACAGGTTGAGAACCACTGATCTATTTGAAGCTTGGGAGCGCCCAATTATTAAGAAATCCTTTTCTTTCCCCCCCCCCCAAATCACGAGTCTTTGCTTATGAACTTCAAAAAGAGCCAGTTGTTTAAAAAAAAAAAAGTGAACTGTTCATTCTCCTCAGCTGAATTTATGTGTGGTGTGTAATTAACATCTTCCCCCCTCCGCAATAATTTGGAGCTAATTTTGACTGAAATGAGACATGTGAAGAGTTCCAGAAGAAAAGAAAGATACCCAGTTGCAGAATGATGGAACACAGGTAGTCCCCTGCTTTCAATAGCTCATTTAGTGACTGTTCAGAGTTACAACGCTGCTGAAAAAAGTGACTTACGACCGTGTGTCACACTTACGACTCTGGCAGCATCCCCACGCTCACGGGATTAAAATTTGGACATCGGCAACTGGCTCATATTTATGACCGGTCGCTGTGTCCCTGGGGTCACTTGATCCCCTTTTATGACCATCTGACAAGTGGGGAAACCAGACTCACTTAACAACCGTGTTGCTAGCTTAAAAACTGCAGTTATTCACTTACGAACCGTGGGAAGAAAAGTGATAAAATTGGGCCAAACTCACTTAACAAGTCTCTTGGTTAGCAACAGTTTGGGCTGAATTGTCGTCGTAAGTCGACGACTACCTGTGTTCAGCATCTCCAGTTTTTAAGTTCATTTGTTCACTTCGGAGCCGAATGACAAAGAGTCTACTTTTAATTGTAGACAACCAGGGGTGTGTGTGTGTGTGTGTGTGACTGCTTCAGCATGTGGCTTGTCGCTTGTCGCTTCCTTTGTCCAAATCATTTTTTTAGCTGTTAACCAATTCAGGTTTCACTTCCCTTCTCAAAAGACACCTGGAAGGAGAAGGAGAAGGAAAGACAAAAAAGCGTAGCCCTTGAAACGGGTTCACATTTAAATTTACAGCAGCAGTTTTAAAAAAAAAAGATTCATACACAAACCTTGTGGGGAAGGAGAGGAGATTGTAGTAGATATTTAGAGATATAAGAAGAATCCTGTTTGATCCAGCTGCTGGCCAGTAAAGTCCAGCATTTTGAGCCACACAATAACCAAATCTGGCACATGGTTATAGCAATAGCAACAGCACTTATAGGCCGCTTCACAGTGCTTTACAGCCCTCTCTGGCTGGTTTACAATGTCAGCATATATTGCCCCCAACAATCTGGGTCCTCATTTTACCGACCTCGGAAGGATGGAAGGCTGAGTCAACCCTGAGCTGATCAGGATCGAACTCCTGGCAGTGGGCAGAGTCAGCCTCTAACACTGCCTTCTCACCACTGCGCTACCAGGGCTCCATCCTTACGGGGGAAGGAGCTTGGGTCACAGTTTGAGGGGAAACCTGCAAGACTGGCATCTGGAATGCTTCTCTCCCAGTGGTGACTAGAGCTGAAGAACAAATGGAACAAAATCATATGTTCCATTGATGGGCAGGGTTACTTTCTCCCCAAGGATTAATCAGGGCATGTGCATTCCTGCATGGCTGTGTGAGGTTCTAATTGGGGTGGGTGCGTAGATGGGGCCTGTCTGTGTGCCCACCTCCCCTCATGTGGTGTCTCTTTGTGCTGGGAAGCATGGGGAGGGCTGCAGAGGCTCCACTCCAGATCACATGACCAGGGAAAGGTGAGGTTTTAGAATGGAGCATCAGCAATTTTCCAAGCCTTTTGCCCGTTTGTCTCGGCTGTATGGTTGCAACGAGAGATATAATATAATTAATAATAATAATAATAATAATAATAATAATAATAATAATAAGTAGTAGTAGTAGTAGTAGTAGTAGTAGTAGTAGTAGTAGTAGTAGTAGTAGTAGTTGGAAGAGACCTTGGAGGTCATCTTGTCCAACCCTGGAAGAGACCTTGGAGGTCATCTTGTCCAACCCCCTGCTCAGGCAGGAAACCCTATACCATTCCAGACAAATGACTGTCCAGTCTCTTCTTAAAACATCTAGTGTTGGAGCATTCACTGCTTCTGGAGGCAGGTTGTTCCACTGGTTAACTGTTCTCACTGTCAGGAAGTTTCTCCTTAGTTCTAGGTTGCTTCTCTCCTTGATTAGTTTCCATCCGTTGCTTCTGGCCAAATTGTATATCTTTTAAAATCTTTCTTTGGTTGGTCCATCTTCCATCCTCCAACCCCAATTTTATTTTCTTTGTTTCTGTTGTTTGGAATTATCCTGCTGGATAAAGGCCTGGACCTTTTTTAGCATCCTACCTTTCCTGAGTTCTGTATATGAAAAAGAATAATAATGTGGAGCCAAACAAGATATCCTTCAGGGGAGCCTCTCCCAAGCTGGACACCACCAGAGGCACTGGGGCTCCCAGAAACCACAACTTAACTTATCTTTCATGTATTTATTAAATTTATATGATTGTCCAATTCCTGCACAGGTTGACTCTAGGCTGCTTACAACATGCAGCTGTATCGGCTGGGATTTCTCACAATTTGGCATCTTTACCTCCTCTGGGTGATACCAGTTTGGGGGGGGGGCACCACCAGTGCATCACCAAGCATGTAAATTTGGAGAAACAGAACCAGCAGGGGGATATCAGTTTGGGTTTGGCAGGGTCTTAAATCCATCTTTTCACATCCAGCATCTGCTCGAACGCTCGTGGTATGCCGTGACCGAGACCTGCCTCGCCTTTACCGTCTTCAGGGATGACTTCAGTCCTCGTTTTGTGGCTCTCTTCACCCTCCTCCTCTTCCTCAAGTGCTTCCATTGGCTGGCTGAAGACCGGGTGGACTTTGTAAGTTATGATCCCGAGTTTGTGGGTGCGAACGTGAGGCTGTAATAACCAGGTCAAAGTAAAACTGGTTTTTCTGCTTGAAGTGTTAAAAGCCGTGTGTCAACGCTGCTAACATCGCATGTTCTTGCATTGACAATAAAGGCAAATGTAGCCATCTTTTACCTTTTGCTTTTAGAGTTAGATGAGGCTGGGAGGAGGGATGTGAACGAGAGTCCAGCTAGACATAACAACACTAAACTTAGTGTGAGAATCAAGGTTATTGTAACCAGAGCTGATAAGGAATTGGTGGGCTGGAGAGCTGGAGAGGAAGCCTGCGCTTCAAGCTAATTGGGGAATGTGATTTATGACTGTTAATTGGAGGAGGGAATTGTGCTTTGATACGATGTGCCCAGGGGAGGGGAATTCAGTTTTCGGCTTCGATTATGCACTGCCGATACTATGCTAACTCAAAATAAAGATTCTTTAAGGTACACAATGCCTCAAAGTTCTTTCGAAGAGTTTCATCTGTCGGAACCATGACAGTGAGACCGTAATAACCAGGTCAAAGTAAAACTGGTTTTTCTGCTTGAAGTGTTAAAAGCCGTGTTTCTCAACCTAGGCCACTCGAAGAGCTGTGGACTTCAACTCCCAGAATTCCCCAGCCCCTTAAACTTTCTTTTTTTCCATTCCAGATGGAGAGAAGTCCCAACATATCTTGGCTCTTCCATTTCCGCATTGTCTGTAAGTACTTTTTTATTTCATTTATTTTATGGATTAAATTTCTATTATTATTTCTTTTACTCTCCCTTATTTTTGCCCCAGCCGATGGCTGCCTCTAAAGTTGTGGCTTGAGACTGGATCCCAGTCTGGCTTCTTGAGAATCTAGCCATAAAATCTATGTGAAAATGACAGGACAGCCACTTGCCCGGAATGGTATAGGGCAGTGGTGGCGAACCTATGGCACGGGTGCCAGAGGCGGCACTCAGAGCCCTCTCTGTGGGCACGCGTGCCGTCGCCCCAGTCCTAGGCCTTCAGCTGGGTTTTATAAAATCTTTTTGCTTTAGGCCTCGGCCGCCGTGTGCAAAAAAAAAAAAAGTTTCAATCAATCAATTTCAACTTTTCGCAGGAAAAAAAAAGATCTCGCAAAGTTGGAATTGATTGATTGAACTTTTTAGTCCCACCGTTACCACCGCAGCCACGCTTACCCGATGGGCCACGCCCACCCGGCACCCGATGATACATAAGTGGGTTTTGGGTTGCAGTTTGGGCACTCGGTCTCTAAAAGGTTCGCCATCACTGGTATAGGTTCTCCTGCTTGAGCAGGGGGCTGGACTAGAAGACCTCCAAGGTCCCTTCCAACTCTTATTTTGTTAAAGTTTGGGTCTAAACAGCCCTTTGATGTCTTTCTCCACTAAGTCGCTGCTGTGGCAATTGCCTTGTTAAAAATACTTGCAGCTGGCTGAGTGATGGAGCCATTCTTGTCTGCTCTGTTTTTTTCCCCAAGATCAGATGAGGTCAAGTGACTATAAACAGATGGAGATCCCAACGCTGTTGGAAGTGTAACTGTAAATAAGGCAGATGTTCCAGAGGGCTAATTGTGGGTGGCGATTTGCATGACGAAATTACCGTATTTATTGGCGTATAACACGCACTTTTCCCCCCCTGAAAATAGGGGGCAAATGATGTGTGCGTGTTATACGCCTGTGCGTGTTATACGCCGATAAATACGGTACCTTTCTTGGTTATTTGCATACCAGGCCCCTGAGATGCCCTTCTTTCAGTTTTTATTATTATTATTATTATTATCTGTTGCTTCCAAACAGAGCCACTTTGATGAGTGTAATGAAAGCAAACAGAATGATCTGCTTTGGGCAGTTTACGAAGTTGTTAGGGACCTCCTGCACCTCAGTTTTTTTCTCTTCTGGCGTGTTAGCTGTTACGGGGAGTCCTTGACATACATCCATAATTGATAATTAACAGTTATCATTGTTAAGCAGGTAGAACTACCTGACTGGACCAAATTTTACGACATTTATGTGATAGTCATTAAATGAACACCTAGGCCAGGGGTAGGCAACCTTGGCTCTTTTATGACTCGTGGACTTCAACTCCCAGAATTCCTGAGCCAGCATGGGGGAACTTTGGCCCCTTTATGACTCGTGGACTTCAACTCCCAGAATTCCTGAGCCAGCCATGCTGAGGGGAAAAAGAGAGGTTTCCAAGCTTAGACATGTTGGCTCAGGAATTCTGGGAGTTGAAGTCCACAAGTCATAAAAGAGCCAAGGCTGCCTACCCCTGACCTAGGCCATTAAGAGAGTCAATTTTTTGTCAAAAACAAATACTGGAAATCAGCACCAAAAAAAAAAAAAAAAGCAAAAATTGTGGCCACGTGGTTACAGGATGCGGCAAAGCGGAACTGGTTGCCGAATGACCCAAATGCGATCACATTGACCATGGGTTGTGTGTGTGTGAGACCGTCGTAACTTTGAATTCAGGTTGTAAATAGCTTTTGCAGGATCCGTCCTAACTTCAAACGGTGGCTAAGCGACCAGTTGTAAGTCGAGGATCACCTATAGTTTCCTTTTAGGATCAGGAGAGGAATAGTGTATATACCACCTGAAGGAAAGGCATGAAATAAATCTAATAAATGGATGAATTGGAGAACTTTGCAGCAGTCACCTAGGTCAGAGGTCCCCAAGGGACCGGTTCCGTGGAGAGAGGGACCGGTTCCGGGCACCAGGGACTGGTTCCGTGGAGAGAGGTTTTCCCGCGGACCGGAGGGTGCGTGGTTTTGTGTGCTGCCTGCCTCCTTGTTTGTGCGGACCAGTTGCTGGCATGGGGTTGGGGACCCCTGACCTAGGTGACTGTGAATCTCAAGTGTATTGTGTATTTTCCCTACTCCTTTCTGCTTCCCCAGTGACAAAATGGTGTCCCTTCTTTCCTAGCTCTTATCGTGCTTTTGGCCATCTTAGACTTCCTGTTCGTCAGCCACGCCTACCACAGCATCCTGACCCGGGGGGCCTCTGTCCAGCTGGTCTTTGGCTTTGAGGTGAGTAGATCCAAAAAGTTGGGGACCTCTGCTCTAAGCAGTTTACAGAGTCAGTATATCGCCACCAACAATCCGGGTCCTCATTTTTACTGATGTCAGAAGGACGGAAGGCTGAGTCAACCTGGAGCCGGTCAGGATTGAACTGCTGGCAGTGGGCAGAATTAGTTGAATTAGCCCGCAGTGCTTCATTCTGACCACTGCACCACACAGCTCTGTGACTGGGCTTATCAAAGCGAAACCAGGACTGGGCTTGTAAGTTCACAGTTAGAAGGGTAGGTGTCTCGTTGTCATGGTTCCGACAGATGAAACTCTTCCAAGAACTTCGAGGCATTGTTTACCTTAAGGAATCTTTATTTGAGTACCATAGGTCCAAGCCAAAATCTGAGTTCCCTCCCCTGAACACATAGTATCAAAGCACAATTCCCTCCTCCAATTAACGGTCATAAATCACATTCTCCAATTAGTTTGAAATGCAGGCTTCCCCTCCAGTTCTCCAGCCCGCCAATTCTTATCATCTCTTATTTCAATAACCTTGGTTCTCACACTAGGTCCAGTATTGTTATGTCTAGCTAAAGTCTCATGCATGTTCCTCCCCCCGGCATCATCTAACTCTAACTCTAAAAGCAAAACATAGGAAGAAAATGGTTGCATCTCCATCTGTTGTCAAATTAAATTCGGATTTTTAACCCTTTTCCTCGTGGCTCCCCCACAGTACGCCATTCTCATGACGATGGTGCTGACCGTCTTCATTAAATACTTTCTACACTCCATCGACCTGCAGAGCGAAAATCCCTGGGACAACAAGGCCGTCTTCATGCTCTATACAGAACTCTTCACAGGTAAAATAGATCCGGGGATGAAGTCCAAAGCCCCTTCCCCAAATTCAGCCCCCCTCTCCCAAGCAAGTTGGCAGCTGAGGCACACAGGTTGTCCTTGACTTAGAACCATCCCTTTAGTGACCATTTGAAGTTAGGACAGCACTGGAAAAGGTGACTTATGCCCTGTTTTCACACTTACAACCATTGCAGCATCCCCCGTGGTCACGTGATCAAAATCCAGACGCTTGGCAACTGGCATGTACCTATGCCGGTTGTCCTGTCCCTGGGTCACACGGATCACCATTTGTAGCATTCATTTAACGACCACACGATTCACTTAATAACTGCAGCGATCCACTTCACAACTGCGGCAGAAAGGTGGCGAAATGAGGCACCGCTCATTTAATGACGGCCTCGCTTAGCAATGGAAATGTTAGGCTCGACTGTGGTCGTAAGTTGAGGACTACCTGTATTCTGCCTTGATTGCAAGGGTCTTTTGGGCAATGACCTGGAAGTAAAAATTGAATGAGTATCCCCTCCTCCTCCTCCTCCTCCTCCTCCTCCTCCTCCTCCAGGTTTCATCAAGGTCCTCCTCTACATGGCCTTTATGACGATCATGATCAAAGTACACACCTTCCCGCTTTTCGCCATCCGGCCCATGTACCTGGCAATGAGGTGAGTCCGGGGCAGGAAAATTGGGAGGAGGCACACCTGCAGTTCTGCACCTGTCTGCGGGTGAAGGGTCTTTCCAGCTCTCCGCCCCCTTCCCCCCCCCCAACCACCAAAGATTGCCTGCCTGTTCGCCCCCCCGAGACCTGACTGTTGCTGTCTCCGTTCCAGGCAGTTCAAAAAGGCAGTCACCGATGCAATTATGTCTCGTCGGGCGATCCGCAACATGAACACACTGTGAGTATTTGCTGCGCCCAGAAGGGCCCCATCTGCTTCCTGGTGGAAAGTCCCTCGTTATGTATTAAGAGCCTCAGGGGTTAAATATATAGGCAGCAATAATTTTATATTGATATTAATCTGTTTCCTAGTTGAATGTCTCTGCCTGCCTGCCTGCCTGCATCCATCCATCCATCTATCTTATCTATCCATCTATCTATCTTTGTCTGTCTGTCTGTCTCTATATCTCTATCTCTATATCTTTATCTCTATATATATCTATATCTTTATTTCTATCTATTTATCCTATCTATCCATCCCTCTCTCTCTCTTATCTATCTATCTATCTATCTATCTATCTATCTATCTATCTATCTATCTATCTATCTATCTATCTATCTCCGTCTATCCGTCTATCCATCTGTCTGTCTGTCTGTCTGTCTGTCTGTCTGTCTGTCTGTCTATATCTATCTATCCATCCACCCACCCACCCACCTACCTACTTGACTGCCTGCCTGCCTATCTAAAGAACAAATCTATATTGATTCCTTGATTAGTCGTTTGGAAAAAAGCCATTGACCTCTGTGTCATTGCCAAGGAAAGGTTGTAAAGTCACAAAGAGCTGAGCAGAACAAAATTCCCAGCGATCTTTCTGTTCTAAGCACACATAATAATAAGAATAATAGTAGTAGTAGTAGTAGTAGTAGTAGTAGTGGACTGTGCGTGTGCTGACTGCATCAGCGGATGGGGCTTCGCTTGTTTGCGTGGCCCGGTACTGGTCCAGGGCCCGGGGTTCTAGTCCAACCCCCTGCTCAGGCAGGAAACCCTATACCGTTTCAGACAAATGGCTGTCCAGCCTAAGAAGGGACTTAGGTGTCTGACCTTGTTCTCCTCAGGTACCCCGATGCCACCCCGGAAGAGCTGCAGGCCATGGACAACGTTTGCATCATCTGCCGGGAGGAGATGGTGACGGGTGCGAAACGCCTGCCTTGCAATCACATATTCCATACCAGGTGGGGGAAAGTGGTGTTGTTGTTTTTTTAAATAAAACCCCCGAATGGATCTGGGTGGACTTGAAAGCTTCTTGGCTGCAGGAGTGCAGGATGCAGCCTGCCTTGGGTGGATCGTCCTTCCTTCCTTCCTTCCTTCCTTCCTTCCTTCCTTCCTTCCTTCCTTCCTTCCTTCCTTCCTTCCTTCCTCTTTCTTTCTTTCTTTCTTTCTTTCTTTCTTTCTTTCTTTCTTTCTTTCTTTCTTTCTTTTTCTCTCCCTCTCTCTCTCTCTCTTTCTTTCTTTCTTTCTTTCTTTCTTTCTTTCTTTCTTTCTTTCTTTCTTTCTTTCTTTCTTTCTCTCCCTCTCTCTCTCTTATTCTCTCTCTCTCCTTCTCTTCCCTTTGGGGAAGAAGGCGGGCTCCGATGCCTTCCGCTGATCCTCCTTGCTGGACCATGGAGGTTTCCCTTTTCCCCCTTCAGGGTCTTTTTTGGATGGCGGCAGGATAGATACGTCTGTAATCAATACTGCAGACCTTTGATTCCCTTTAACGAGGGTTAGTTCTAAATGGAGCGACCCCGTCCCCACGATTTTAAAGTTGGCTCGTTTGGACCAAACTGTGCTTCCTGTTAAGGGGGCTCTTGTCACTTTTGGTAAGAAGGCAAGGCCACCCTTCAAGTCAAAGCTGAAACCCCCCGTTTTTATTCGTCCTGGGTGTGTGCTTACTGACGCTGTGTGGGGCTAACCCCAGGGCAACCTGCAGTGTGTGTGTGTGTGTAAGAGAAGGAGGGGGAGAGGGGGAGAGAGAAGGAAAGAGAAAAGGAGAGAGAGAAAAGGGGACAGAGAGGGAAAAAGAAAAAGAGAGGAAGAGAAAAAGAGAGAGGGAATGACCCGGAAGAGAGTTTGAATTCACCCACTGGAACTGCAAAGAGTCTCATCTTCTTCAGCTGCCTCCGGTCCTGGTTCCAGCGCCAGCAGACCTGCCCCACCTGCCGGATGGACGTCCTGCGCGCCTCCCTGCCCACCCAGTCGCAGCCGCCCCCCGAGCAGCAAGAAGGGGGGCAGCATCCGCCCCCCCATCAGGCCCCACTGATGCCTCAGCCGCCCAACTGTGAGTCCATTTTGTGTGCTTCTAGCCCAGGGTTTCTCCTCTTTGACTACTTAAGAGGGGGTAGGCTTCAATTCTCTCAGCCAGTCCCCTACAACAACCCTGTGGGGTGGGCTGGGCTGAGAGAGAGGGACTAGCCCAAAGACACCCGGCCGGCTTTCCTGCATAAGGCAGGATTAGAATTCTCCATCTCCTGTTGATTGGCCCGGAGTCACCCAGTTGGCTTTCATGGCTAAGGCGGGACTCGAACTCTCTGTCTCCTGGTGATTGGTCCAGTCATCCAACTGCCTTTCCTGCCTAAGGCGGGATTAGAATTCTCCGTCTCCTGTTGATTGGCCCAGAGTCACCCAGTTGGCTTTCATGCCTCAGGCGGGACTAGAACACTCTGTCTCCTGGTGATTGGTCCAGTCATTCAACTGCCTTTCATGTCTAATGTGGAACTAGAATTCTCTGTCTCCTGGTGATTGGTCCAGTCACACAACTGCCTTTCATGGCTAAGGCGGGACTAGAACTCTCTGTCTCCTAGTGATTGGTCCAGTCATCCAACAGCCTTTCCTGCCTAAGGCGGGACTAGAATTCTTTGTCCCCTGGTGATTGGCCCAGAGTCACCCAGTTGGCTTTCATGCCTCAGGCGGGACTAGAACACTCTGTCTCCTGGTGATTGGTCCCGTCATCCAACTGCCTTTCATGCCTAAGGTGGGACTAGTTCTTATCTCTTGGTGATTGGTCCAGTCGTCCAACTGCCTTTCATGCCTAAGGTGGGACTAGAACTCTCTGTCTCCTGGTGATTGGTCCAGTCATCCAACTGCCTTTCCTGCCTAAGGCAGGATTAGAATTCTCCATCTCCTGGTGATTGGCCCAGAGTCACCCAGTTGGCTTTCATGCCTGAGGCGGGACTAGAACACTCTGTCTCTTGGTGATTGGTCCCGTCATCCAACTGCCTTTCATGCCTAATGTGGAACTAGAACTCTCTTGTCTCCTGGTGATTGGCCTAAAGTCACCCAGCCAGCTTGCCTGCCTCTTGGTTTCTAGTCCATTTCTTCTTCCTCTTTTCACCTGCATTTACTTTACTCCCTTAGGCTAAAGATACTTTAAATAACGACCAGTTGAAATTCTAGAATCGGCTAGGATAACCCGGTTCTCGTGGAAGCAGCGCTGCTGACCCTCTTCTCTGTCTTTAGTTCCCCAAGGCCTCCTGCCTCCGTTTCCTCCCGGGATGTTCCCTCTGTGGCCACCCATGGCTCCCTTCCCTCCAGTGCCGGGCGTCCAGCCCCCCAATAACACCGACGGTGCCTCGGCGGCTGCGTCCTCCCCACCAGGAGCCCAAGGGGCAGGTGAGACACCCCACGGCCGGCTGTTCCGCTCGCGAGCCCTCAAGGGAGGGTCTTAACTGGGCTGCGTTTCCTCAACAGGCACCACCAGGCCCAGCGGGGATTCGGCCACCACGTCGGACACCGCGGCCTCCGCAGGGACCGTGCCGGGTTTCCCCTTCCCTCCTCCCCCTTGGATGGGGATGCCGTTCCCCCCTCTCTTTGGTACGTTCCAGGGTTCCTGGGCGTGGCTTCCTGCAAAGGGCGGGGAGATTGTAGATCGTTTATCGGCGATGGATTACAACTTTGGCGGCTACTGGTCTGCTGGTTTCGCTGCCCTCCTGGGGACTGAGCGGGGGGCTGGTTCTTTTGGGGGGTGAGTCCTCCTCTTCCATGTCCCCCTCCTCTCTCTGCTTCAGGCTTCCCTCCGATGCCGGTCCCCCCCTCAGGATTTGCAGGGCTGACGGAGGAGGAGCTGCGGGCCATGGAGGGCCACGAACGGCAGCACTTGGAAGCCCGGCTGCAGTGTCTCCAGAACATCCACACTCTCCTCGACGCGGCCATGCTCCAGATCAACCAGTATCTCACTGTGCTGGCAACGATCGGGTGAGTACCTGCTCTCTCCCCTCCCTTCCCCTCCCCTCCTCTCTCTCCTTCCCTCTGCTCCCTTCCCCTCCCCTCCTCTCCCCCCATATTTCTTCTCTTCCTTCACACATATGCCTTCCTTCCTCTTTCTTTCTTTCTTTCTTTCTTTCTTTCTTTCTTTCTTTCTTTCTTTCTTTCTTTCTTTCCTTCCTTCCTTCCTTCCTTCCTTCCTTCTTTCTTTCTCTCTCTCTCTCTCTCTCCTTTCCTACCCTCTTTCTCTTTTTTCTTTCTCTCTTCTTTCTTTCTTTCTTTCTTTCTTTCTTTCTTTCTTTCTTTCTTTCTTTCTTTCTTTCTTTCTTTCTCTCTCTCTTCTTTCTCTCTCTCCCTCTCTCTCCCTCTCTCCTTTCCTACCCACCCTCTTCCTTTTTTCCTTCCTTCCTTTTTTCCTTCCTTCCTTCCTTCCTTCCTTTTTTCCTTCCTTCCCCCCCTCCCTCCCTCCCTCCCTCTCTCCTTAAATTCCTATTCTGCCCATCACACTCGTGATTCTGGATAGTTTACAAACAGAGACCCTCCCTGCTGGGCTGCTGTCTCTCTTGCACAGGATGCCTCGGGCTCCGCCAACACCCGCCAGTGCTTCAACCCCTTCGACGGCCCCCCCTGAGACCCCGACTAGCCCTGAGACGAATGCCAGCGAACCCACCACCTCGACCACCCAGCCAGCGGACAGCACCTCTTCGCAAGGTAACATCACCCGAGCCCAGGCCGGGGTGAGAAGAGGGGTGGCTTGAAGGGGGAAGCCCTGGAGCGGAGGCCCCCACCGTTGCTCCCAGCACAGGCAGCCCTCGACTTTACGACCACAGCAGAGCCCCAAACCCGGGTCCGGTTAACCGTTCTTTCCTTGGGGGTTTCCAGACACATCTCCAGACAAAGCAGAGGCTCCGACGCAGCCCCCCAGCCCCGACGAGGACCCCTCCTCCCCGGAAGAGCCCAACGCCGCGGAGCTGCGCAGACGCCGCCTTCAAAAACTAGAACTGCCTTCTTCTGGGTCTCCTTGAGCGAGCCTGGCCCGGACGGATTTTATTTTCCTTTCCCCCCTACCCCGAAATAAAATGGAAAATGGATCTCGGAAGAACCAAGCCCACCCCCTCCTCCTCCTCCTCCTCCTCATTGTGGCAGCAGAGATCAGAGGGACCGGACGAAGATAAACCTGGATGTCTTAACTGCGTTCCACCGAGCGCGACGTCACCGGAGGTGGACGGGAACGCCGCGGGACTGCAGCGGTGGGGGCGGCTTGACGCCTTTCGGAGGGATTTAGCGGCGCCTCCTGTAATAAGAGGGCCACTCAGACGTGCCCCGTTGCACTGCTGGTTTCACATCTCTCGTGTCGACAGGACGGAGCCTGAGCCCGCCGAAACCAAGGGTGGGCGAGGGTCTCCGTCTCCTTTGGGGGAAAGAGAGAGAGAGAGAGAACGGGGCAGGGGGCACCGAGGCGGTTCCTCGCTTGGAGAATTTCTCTTTAATTTGACATGGGTAGAGCTTTTTTTCGACTACAATATTTTTGTCCCTTGATTTTTTTTAGCCCCCCCCCTTCCCCTAGAGTGTGTGCTCCGCGCACACCTGTCAAGCTTTGGCCCAGGAAAGCAGAAACGGTCCTCCCCCCCCTTTTTTTTTTTTTTGCAAGCAGGAGGAACAAACGGACCGGAGAGCTTCTATTTTTGTAAGGGGTGGGCGGGCGGGCGGGCTAGCCCAGCGGACGTCCCTGGATCACTTCTGTCCCGGCAAAAGTTTTAGTCCTGTTCTCTTCCCCCCCCCACATCCTCGCCCGTCCAGCCAGCCAGGGGGTGGGGGGGGAGGCGACGGGTTGGGGGGGAACAGGAGGACCGTTGCACCGCTTTGGAACGAATGAACGAATGTCCCGGCACCGACGGAAGCACCTCTTCCCCCCCCCCCTCTCTGTGGAGCTGAGCAATTTTGCACCGTACTAAACCTGTGACTTGAATCTTTCCCCCCCCCCCTCCCCGTGCTTCGTTCTTTGGCTCTTTAACAAAAAAGAAGTTTAAAAAGGAACGTACCCCAAGGAAGCCAGGACGAAGGAAGGACCTCGTCTGGGCTTCATCCGGGGGGGGAAAAAAGGTGTCTTGATGCTGCCCCACTGCATTTAGGGGTCCTGGAATTAAGGTTTTCACTGGTTGGGACTGCAGCGTGTGTGGTTCGTCGGCCCGAATTGTGATTTTTGGATCTCTGGGCCAGCAAAGGAGGGGTTTGGGTCTGGGTGGAACCACACACAAACCCTGGAGGGATTAGCATTTTCCCAGCAGGTTTCCAGTCTTATTTTTTTTTTTTTATTAATCTAATGGACTGAACTCATTCCACCACCACCTCTTCCTCCTCCTTCTCCCTCCACTAATGTTGCTTTGCTCAGATGCTGTGATTTGGGCCTTACTCCTGTTTTAGTTTTGGTTTCTGGACAGAAAGAGGCCCTTCCCAGGTTTTTTTTGGGGGGGGGAGGCTGGGGGTGGATGAGCATTTTCCACTGGGGTGCAGGAAGGAAACATCTTTGAGAAAAAAGGTGTCCATGGGGGGGGGGGAGTCTGTCCCCTATTCTTATAAGTTGCTATCCTTTATGTTTTAGCCATGAAAGGGTTTGGAAGGATAGGGTAGAATAGGACCGGACAGGACAGGGAGTGGGATGGGATGGAAGGGGAAGGGAAAATGGAGGAAAGAAGGACTAAGGGAAGGAAAGGAAAGAGAATGGAAGGAAGGAAGGACTAAGGGAAGGGAGAAGAGGGAGAATGGGAGTAAAGAAGGACGAAGGGAAAGGAAACAATGGGAGGAAGGAAGGAGTAAGGGAAAGGAAAGGATACAATAAACAAAGGATAGGGTAAGGAGTGGGATGGAGGAATAGACGGGAGATGAAGAGAAGACCGTGGGCTAGATAGGATAAGATAGAAAAAGGAGTAGGAGCGGACAGGATAGGATAACCTTCCATGGCCTTATTTCCCCCCCCCTTTGAAATCTCTAGGAATTCTTGACAAACTGACCTCATTTGGGGGGGGGTTTCCCCTGGCTTGGGATTTTCACCCCCCTCCCCACACCTGGGGCAACTGCTTCTGAAGGAGACTGGCTTTTCCTGCTTAAGCAACCTTCCTACTGACGCACCTTCATTCGGTAGATTTTGCATTTCCCCTTTATTTCCTTCTAAAAGCCTGCTGATCTTCTATCACTTCTGTGATACTGACTTTAACCAAAAAAAAAAGCTAGAACTCCTTCCCCCCCCAGAAAGCAAATCAGTCAAACATTTGTTAGTTTGGCTGCTTTTTTCCTTTCTTGCTCTTTTTTTTTTTAAAGTGCTTTCGTTTTAACTTGGATTAGTGAACAGAATTACTACTCTTTGGGGTTAGAACTGGCGTCGGGACAGCCGGGGGGGGGGGGGGGAGAAAGTGTTGATCTCAATAAAAGGCTTTTGCTTAAACACTTCTGTTCATCTGTCCGAAGAGGGGAGCCCCATTCTGTGTCCTCCTTCCTCCCCCCGTCGTAAACCGAGACGGATGGGGTGAATTGGATCTATCTTAGGGCAACCTGGGAAAGTTACAGCAAAGGCAGAAGTCGTAAGCAGGCAGGAAATTCAAAGTGGCTGGGTTTATGTTTTTATTTTCGACTTCAAAACCGTCTGATGTGGAAAGCATAAACCTAAATCTTGGCGTATTTATCCAGCTTCTAATTAAACTCTTTCTGCATTTTGAATGTTAACTACAAAGCCGGCAGGCTTAAATCGTTTGGCATAAGATGGATGCGTCGGGATTCTTAAAGAAGCCACGTGTGCCACGATGTAAAAAAGATGCTGAGACTCTAGAAAGAGTGCAGAGAAGAGCAACAGAGATGATTAGGGGGCTGGAGGCTAAAACATATAAGGAACGGTTGCTGGAATTGGGTCTGTCTAGTTTAATGAAGAGAAGGACGAGGGGGGACAGGATAGCAGGCTTCCAGTATCTCAGGGGCTGCCCCAAAGAAGAGGGAGTCAAGCTCTTCTCCAACGCGCCTGAAGGCAGGACAAGAAGCAATGGATAGAAACTGATCAAGGAGAGAAGCAACCTAGAACTAAGGAGAAACTTCCTGACGGTTAGAACAATTAACCAGTGGAACAACCTGCCTCCAGAAGCGGTGAATGCTCCAACACTGGAAGTTTTTAAGAAGAGACTGGACAGCCATTTGTCCGAAATCTTATAGGGTTTCCTGCCTGAGCAGGGGGTTGGACTAGATGACCTCCGAGGTCCCTTCCAACTTTATCATTATTATTATTAAGCCAGCTGCTGCCAAGTGATATTTGAGAATTGCATGTTGGCTGGGGAATTCTGGGAGTTGAAGTCCACCCATCATGTTAAAGTACATTGGGGAATTCTGGGAGTTGAAGTCCACCCATCTTAAAGCATGCAGACTGTGGAATTCTGGGGGGTCGAAGTCCACAAATCTTTAAAGTTGCCTATATTGAATATCCTTCTAGCTGGAGGGCTCCAACTTTCCTGAATGGATTATTACATCTGCATTTCTAAAAGCTGGTTTCTGCTGAGTTGTCTGGCTGGGGGTGTGTCTCTGTGTAGAAGTTTCTGCCTTTTTAAAGATCTCCGTTATTCCTTTGAGGAAATATATTCTGCTTTTTTAAGATTCCCCAAAAATATTTCTTTTCTCTGGCTTGTTCCCACACACCTTCTTAGCAATTTTGGGTTGCAAAGGGTGACCGCTTTTTTTCCTGGAGTGTCTCAGGGTGTGTGCATGTGTGTGTGTGTGTTGTTTCCACGTGTGCCCAGGGATAAGGAACAATGTGGAACTGTGCTATCTATGCACACTTAAATTTGAATGACATTGGACGAATATGTCTTCCCGTTGCCAGCAGAGGGCGCTTTTGGCCTATAAAATAATACACCTATTTAATATCAATAGAACAAACGAAAAGCGAAACTTTACAGCACTTTGTTGGTGCTAATTTCTTCGCAATTGCACGGGTTGTTGTTTTGTTTTTTTGCCCTACACATCACTCCTGGTTCTTTCTTGGTGAGAAGCCAAGGAACCAGCTTTTGACAAGACAACCGAGGTAAGATTTGCTCCGGATCACCATGGCTATCTAAAGCTGGATCTAGAAACTGTTTGCAAGAGCTGAAGCAGCTTCTTGGAGGAGAAGCGAAACGGCTTCAAAAGAAAAAACAAGAAAGTCCAGTTGCCTCCTGAAAAAGCCTCTTTGGGACAACAGGGACCTGGAGGACACAGAGCCTCCGTAGACATGTTTGCAAGAACAGTTTGTGCTGTTTAAAACCCCTTAATTTTATTCTCCGAGGAAGGGCCTCCCACGAGAACATGCCAGATTTAAGTGTGCAAGTGATTTTTTGAGCGGTTGCAACAGGGTGGGTGGGTGGGTGATTTGTTAGTCGGTCCTAAGTCGACTATTTTTCCTATCAGATATGAATTATCCAGCAAGGTTTAGGGTAAATGGGTTTGAATTTCGGCTGTCTGGGCTCTGAGTGGAGAGATTTTAAAATTATTAATGGAGTGGAGTGGAGGAGTGGGATGGGATGGGATAGAAGAGAAGAGAAAATAGAATAGAATAGAATAGAGAAGAAAAGAGAAGAACAGAATAGAATAATAATAGAATTTAGATTAGAATAGAAACTGGAAGGGACCTTGGAGGTCTTCTAGTCCAGCTCCCCCGCTTAAAGCAGGAGAACCTATACCAGGGGTAGGCAACCTTGGCTCTTTTATGACTCATGGACTTCAACTCCCAGAATTCCTGAGCCAGCATAGCTGGCTCAGGAATTCTGGGAGTTGAAGTCCATGAGTCATAAAAGAGCCAAGGTTGCCTACCCCTGACCTATACCATCTCAGATAAATGGCTGTCCAGTCTCTTCTTTAAAACCTCCAGTGATGGAACGCCCACGATTTCTGGTGGCAAGCCGTTCCACTGGTTGATTGTCCTCACTGTCAGGAAGTTTCTCCTTAAATCCAGGTTGCTTCTCTCTTTTGATCAGTTTCCAGCCATTGTTTCTCGCCCTTCCCTCTGGTGCTCCGGTGAACAACCCGGCCCCCTCTGCCTTGTGGCAGTTCCTCAGATCCTGGAAATATTATCTGACTGGGATTGTCACTTAACAGTCTTGGCAAAAACAGAAGTAAAATTGGCCATGACCTGCTTAAAAGCTGCTTCGCTTAGCGATGAAAATTCTGCTCCCAATTCTGGTCATAAATAGAGAAATAGCTTGGGGGTCCCATAATTGGGAGTTCCCAAATGAAAGGATATTTTCTTAGTTTTTAAATGCCCTCTTTTAAAGCCAGTAGATGGTGCCATTTTGCAACAAGAAAATGAAGCTTTGTTTAAAAAAACAACACAACAACTGGAGGTTTATTTGACCTTTGGAAATAAACGCGAACATTGCAAAACTCAAAAGTGAAACTGAGCATGTGATAGGGCAATTCTCTGTCTCCTTTTGTGAAAGTCCCAAGGTTGGGGATCTGAAAAGTATTTCCCCAGCCAGCTTCCCAGGAAAAGAGAGAAAGAAAGAGAAAGTTCCATGTTTATTCCCTATAAAAATAGCCATTTATTGACCTAACAGCAGATTAAAAGAAGATGGGAACTGCTAAGAGTTTTGGCTCAGAAATTAAAAGGTTGTGTGGCCTGTTCGCAGAGTTGAAGGGCAGTCTCCAGCTCCCCAAATTCTCAGCAGCGGCTGTGCCGGTTGGGGCAACCTGGGAATTATAGTTCACAATATGCTGGTCTATGACTGTAATAAGGATTTGAGTGATTGTAGTTCACAGACCTGAAGGACAATCTTTGGTTCCTCAGAATTCTCAGCAGCGGCTGTCTTGACTGGGCAACTCTGGGAATTGTAGTATCGGCACCCAGAGGACAATCTTCAGCTCCCAGAATTCTCAGTGGTTGCTGTGCTGCCTCAGGAACTCTGGGAATTGTAGTATCGAGACCCGAGGACAATTTTCAGCTCCCAGAATTCTCAGTGGTTGCTGTGCTGCCTCAGGAACTCTGGGAATTGTAGTATCGAGACCCGAGGACAATCTTCAGCTCCCAGAATTCTCAGTGGTTGCTGTGCTGCCTAGGAAACTGTGAGTTGTAGTATCGAGACTCAGAGGACAATCTTCAGCTCCCAGAATTCTCAGTGGTTGCTGTGCTGCCTCAGGAACTCTGGGAATTGTAGTATCAAGACTCAGAGGACAATCTTCAGCTCCCAGAATTCTCAGTGGTTGCTGTGCTGCCTCAGGAACTCTGGGAATTGTAGTATCAAGACTCAGAGGACAATCTTCAGCTCCCAGAATTCTCAGTGGTTGTTGTGCTGCCTCAGGAATTCTGGGAATTGTAGTACCCAGACCCAGAAGACAATCTTCAGCTCCCAGAATGCTCAACACTGGCAATGCTGGGTGGAGAGCTCTGGACGTTGAGACTCACAACTGGACAGTGGCGGTCATCTTTCAAAAAGTCCTTCCAGCCGAATTCCAAGCAAACCATCACCTCCAACGTTCTTTAAAAAGTCACAAGAGGGTAGCAGGGAAGTTCTTTTCCACCAACACAACTTTTCCCCTCTTCTCAACATCTTCCATAAAGTGCCTTCCACCTTCTCAGCCGAAGCAACCCGAGAAAGATCCGCGTTTCCCATCCATTAAAGCTGGATCGACTCGCTTCCAGGAACCATGTAGAACATTTTCTTCCCTACAAAGACATATTAACATCTTGTATTAGGGCATTTTGTATTATTTCCCCTGCAAGGAATTGGTGGCTATATAAACCATGATCAATAAAGAAAGAAATTGGGAGCCAATCAATCAATCAATCAATCAATCAATCATCCAATCAAATTTGATGAAATGACATTAGGAAAGAGGGAAGGCCATTGCTAAACGCAGGCCAGCCCTTCCATGTTCTGGATACCAGGCTTGATGGCATTTGTAGTCCTCTGGAGATGCCCACCCAATGAAGAAATCTAGAGGTAGTCCTCAACTTAACAACAGGTCATTTAATGACCATTTGAAGTTACAACGGCATTGAAAAAGTCGACATGGCCATTTTTCACACTTAGGACCATTGCAGCATCCTCGTAGTCAAAACAGCCAACACAATCCTGGACTGCATCAACAGGCATAGAATCAAGATCACATGAAATTGTTTTTTAACTGCTTTATATTGCACTAGTGAGGCCACACGTGGAATAATGTGTCCAGTTTTGGTCACCACGATGTAAAAAAGATGCTGAGACTCTAGAAAGAGTACAGAGAAGAGCAACAAAGATGATTAGGGGACTGGAGGCTAAAACATACGAGGAATGGCTGCTGGAAGTGGGAATGTCTAGTTTAATGAAGAGAAGGACGAGGGGGGACATGATAGCAGCCTTCCAGTATCTCAGGGGCTGCCCCAAAGAAGAGGGAGTCAAGCTGTTCTCCAAAGCGCCTGAAGGCAGGACAAGAAGCAACGGATGGAAACTCATCGAGAGAAGCAACCTGGAACTAAGGAGAAACTTCCTAACAGTGAGAACATTTAATCAACGGAACAGCTACTTACCCGAATGCTGTTTGTAGCACACGCACGAAAGGACAGCCAACAAGAAGAAGAACGAGACCACTGGGATGACGATCAAGAGGAATTCCCTGAAATTGTATGTGGTCTTCTTCTCACCTTCTGGAGAACATGGAATAACAAGAGTTGGAAGGGACCTTGGAGGTCTTCTAGTCCAGGGTTCCCCAACCCCCAGTCTGTGGACCAGTATCGGACCGTGGCATGCCAGCACACAAAACCACGCTCCTTCCGGTCCGTGGAAAAAGTCTCTCTCCACGGAACTGGTCCCTGGTGCTCAAAAGGTTGGGGACCTCTGTTCTAGTCCAACCCCTTGCTTGAGCAGGACACCCTACTCTACCATTTAAAACAAGTGGTTCTTCTTAAAGTCCTCCAGTGATGGAGCACCCACAACTTCTGGAGGCAAGCTGTTCCCCTGGTTAATTGTCCTCCCTGTTGGGAAATTTCTCCTTAATTCCAAGTTGCTTCTCTCCTTGATTAGTTTCCATCTGTTGTTCCTCGTCTTGCCTTTTGGTGCTTTGGGGAATAGCTTGACCCCCTCAATGGAGAAGCCAGATTCACTTAACAACCGGGTCACTAACTAATCAGCTGCAGTGATTCACTTAAGAACTGTGGCAAAATGGGGCAAAACTCATTGGACCCCTGTCTCCCTCAGCAAAAGAAAGTTTGGGCTCAATTGTGGCCGTACGTCAAGGACTATCCATATAGTGCAATCTTGGCTCTTTTATGACTGGTGGACTCCAACTCCCAGAATTCCTGAGCCAGCCATGCTGAGGGGAAAGGGAAAGGTTTCCAAGCTGAGCCATGCTGGCTCAGGAATTCTGGGAGTTGAAGTCCACCAGTCATAAAAGAGCCAAGGTTGCCTACCCCTGATATAGTCCCTTGCGAAGGGACCGGTTGAGGAATGGGAAACAGGTTAACCCCCAAGTTGGCCACGTACCTGAACGTCGTAGACAGGAATCCTGGAGCTCAACCACCGCTGATTTGTGGATTACAGGATTGGAGGCCGTGCAGGTGTAGCTCACCTGGAGAGCTTCCTTGGGATCCAGTTGGACCCGTAGCACCTGGCCCTCCTCCGTGCGCCAATGTTTCGGCCCGGGGTTGGTCTTCTCCCCCAGCCCTTCCCACTCATAAGTGACGTTAGTCCTGCTGGCCGCACGGCAACTCAGAAAAAGTATGCAGGTTTCCGAGGAGGCATTCGCATCCTTTGCTTCAGGAAACACCCGGATAACTGGGGTAGAAATCGTATCTGGAAGAAGAGAGGAGAAAAATCAGGTGAAGGGGTCATATTTTAGTTCCTTCCCTGGCTCCCATTTCTGGGTTAGGTTTGACCTGGAAAACAAAACAAAACAAATGCACCAACACTGGAAGTTTTTAAGAAGAGACTGGACAGCCATTTGTCCAAAATGGTATAGGGTTTCCTGCCTGAGCAGGGGGTTGGACTAGATGACCTTCACGGTCCCTTCCAACTTTACTATTATTATTATTATTATTATTATTATTATTATTATTATTATTATTATTATTATTATTATTATTATTATTATTATTATTATTATTATTATTATTATTATTATTCCCCACCATGGGATTAATCCAGGTCGGAGATTCTAGACGGGAACCAAAGGAACAGACCTTTCTTTCAAACCAAAGAGTAAAAACAGATGAATCAATAGGTCTTCTAATCTGACTGTGCCCTTTTTTGGGATAGCACAACGTACCAAAAACCTTCAGCTCGAAAACCTGTCGTTTCATCTGTCCTGTGGTGTCCACCAGGAGGACGGAGAAGACCCCAGCATCTTCTAAGTCCACCGGGTTGATCTGTAAGGTGAAGTTGTCGTGGAGTTGAGTCCTCCCGTAGAAACGGGACCGATACTGGATCTCTGGGGTTCCCTTGAACGAGGTGGCCACCAACTCTTCGGAAGGTGTCAAGGAACGCCAGATGATCTCCCGGATGTGAAAATTGGGAGGGGGGCTCGCTTTGAAGACAACAGAGCCCCCCGCTACTCCGACCACCTGCGCTGGTGTGTAGGCCCTCGACAAGAGAAGAGCTACAAGAGAGAGAAAAAAATATATCTTTACATCAAAGGCGCGTGGAATTCTTCTTCTCTTCTTCTACAATAAGGAGACCTCGTCTTGGTTCAGGTCTCCAACTCTGGGATCAAAGAAATCTGCCAAAGAAAGGTAGAATCACGGCTCTGGAAGGGACTCCAGAGGTCTTCTAGTCCAACTCCCTGCTCAAAGCAGGAGCCCTCTTAGACCAAGCACCTGAGGGCAGAACAAAAAATAACAGGCGGAAGGTCATTAAAGAGAGAAGCAACCTAGAACGAAGGAGAAATTTCCTGGCAGTGAGAACGATTAGCCAGTGGAACAGCTTGCCTCCAGAAATTGTGGGTGCTCCATCACTGGAGCTTTTCATGAAGAGATTAGAGAGGCATTTGTCTGGCACGGGATAGGGTCTCCTGCTTGAGCAGGGGGTAGACTAGAAGACCTCCAAGGTCCCTTTCAACTGTGTTATTCTGTTAGCATTAAGGAGAAACTTAATGCTATGACAGTGAGAACGGTTAACCAGTGGAACAGCTGGCCTCCAGAAGTTGTGGGTGCTCCATCCCTGGAGGTTTCTAAGAAGAGACTGGACAGGCACTTGTCTGGAATGGTAGAGGTATAGGGTCTTCTGCTCAAGCAGGGGGTTGGACTAGAACAGGGGTCCCCAACCCCCGTGCCGTGGAGCAGTACCAGGCCGCGGCATGCCAGCAACCGGTCCACACAAACAAGCAAAGTCCCATCTGCAGGATGCAGGCAGCACAAAACCACGCACCCTCCGGACCGTGGAAAAACCTCTCTCCATGGAACTGGTCCCTGGTGCCCCAAAAGGTTGGGGGGGCCTCTGGACTAGATGACCTCTAAGGTCCCTCCCAACTCTGTTATTCTATATTCAACCAAGGTGCAGTTAACTGGAGTCTACCCATGTGTGTTTAAGCGATTTCTCTTACCTGAAGCCAGCATCCATATAAGGAGGACCCAACCCATCCCAGCTCCGTTCTGGAAGACAGCAGAAGCCGAAAAGGCATCAGCAAAAGAGAAAGTAGATGTCACATGATGAAGCCTGTTTGTTTTTTCCCACAGGAAATCCCCTTTTATCACTTAAGGAAGAATTGGGGACTCCCACGGATAATCTTTGGCGCCCCGTTGCAGAAAGCAGAACTGGGGGAAAAAAAAAAAAACCTGGAGGCTGATCTACAAGAAAACTTTGCAAATTCTGATAAATGTTTTTGTTTTTTTCTGCTCTGGTAAATTCCCAGGAAAAGGGAATCGAGCGATTTCAAGAAAGCACCCCCTTTTTTTTTCCCCTGCCCTGGAAAGGTTTAGATTTAGCCTTGTGACCCGAAAGATAGGGTAGGACGGGGCAAATCTAACAGAAATAAAACCCAGGAAAATAAAAATAAAATGAAATGAAATAAAGGAAGCCAGCCCAAATAAGAGTAAACAGAGAGGGAACAATGTTACTAAAATCTGGTTTAAAAAATAAATAAGATGGTCCTTGACTTATGAACACTATTACTACTACTACTACTACTACTACTACTACTACTACTACTAATAATAATAATAATAAGTTGGAAGGGACCTTGGAGGTCATCTAGTCCAACCCCCTCCTCAGGCAGGAAACCTTATACCATTTCAGACAAATGGCTGTACAATCCCTTCTTAAAAACTTCCAGTGTTGGAGCCTTCACAACTTCTGGAGGCAGGTTGTTCCACTGGTTAATTGTTCTGCCTGGATAGGTTCAGAGCGATGGTGATCGGAGTACCCGGATCCCCATAATTTGGAATTTTAACGGGAGGAAAATTTTCCTTAGGATTGTCTGAATATCGCTTGGAGGATTTTACGCAAAGCTAACCTTTGTGCCAAGTTTTCACAACTCTTGTAACGGCTGACTTGAAACCGGATTCGAGTCCTCACTCGGGCTAGGAGCATGATCAGGCTGGGACAGGAAAATCTAGCCCCACCGCCCGCTTTGTGTCAACAGTTGGCAAGTCACTTCCTTTTGGCAGCACGCCTGCTGTGTAATGCACTTTGCCACATGTGAGTCCGTTGCATACGGCCAGCCAGAAAGGAGAGCAATAAACAAATGCAGGAGCGAGATCCAGTACAAAACTGTTTGCATTCCGAGGAAATGGTTGAGAAGGGTTTGTGGAACTCCCTTGGCTGGGCGCAGTCTACCTTAGCTGCAAAAAAAAAAGAGGCATGAATGAGGACAGGAATGCTGGATCTTGGAAGAGGGGGACGGAGGGGTGAACCTCCCTTTCACACATCCCCTGCTTCTTAGTATAAATCTCTTCATCTGTCTCTTTTACGCAAGTGTACTGTACATGCATTCACACCTGTGAAAGACAGGCGGGCATTGAATAAAATAAACATGCTGGCTGGGAGATTCTGGGAGTTGAAGTCCATCCATCTTAAAACATGCTGGTTGGGGGATTCTGGGAGTTGACGTCCACCCATCTTAAAGTGTGCAGGCTGGGGGATTCTGGGAGTCGAAGCCCACCTATCTTAAGGCAGGCTGGCTGGGGGATTCTGGGAGTTGAAGCCCACCATCTTAAAGCGTGCAGGCTGGGGGATTCTGGGAGTTGAAGCCCACCTATCTTAAGGCAGGCTGGCTGGGGGATTCTGGGAGTTGAAGCCCACCATCTTAAAGCGTGCAGGCTGGGGGATTC